GGTGGTCGTGCTCGCTAAGTCAAATATTCTGAAAGAAACATCTTAATTTCACTTCCTCCTTTTCTTTGGTAAAATTTGAAACCTCTCCGTTAGTTCAGACATCCTCAGATGACCAGAATTAATCTTTGAGGGGTTTAAAAACTGTTTGCTGGTTCTTCTATTTAATTAAAAGACTTCATTAGACAATCGGTTTTATAAACGACTCGTTAGATAGCGTGATGTTGTCGGACCCACGAGACTCGATGAGCTCGTGTTGTTGATTTTGGGGTTTTTTAAAGAGCGTGTTTGGCGTTGGGATCCCCATCCCTCGTTATGGCAGTGTTTGTGTTTCTGTTTTTACATTTTAAGACACAGAAATGAAAAAGGAAAGAAACTGATCAATGATTGTCTCTGCGTCGTCGTTCCTCTGCAAATATCAACAACGTGATCGAGAAGAAGAAAGACACAAAATCAGAACCCGTCGAGGCTCAAATGTTCTGAAAGATGAAGAAATGAAACGTCTCGCTCCTCATCCTCAGGATCCAAAACGAGCCAGATCCAACAGGTCCAAAAACCCCTCACTGAGCCCGCTCTGACCCACTCATCCTGGACTCAGGGGGGGCAGTTTTCTCATGCTTACAAAGAGAGCGCCGACTCTAAAAACAGTGAGTGTCTGTGTTTGAAGGCCCCACTCCTCACCTCAGCTGGACCAGGACCAGGACCAGAGCAGGGTCTGGGATCCGAATCCTCCTGTTTAGTTTGACATGGCTGCTCCTCCTCCTCCTTTACTACCACTCCCTGCTCCATCTCGGTCCTCTGCTGTTCCACTAAAGATCCTGGGGGGAGAAACTTTCCAAACCTGGTCCCGGTCCCATTCAGATCCTCCTCCAGTTTCACCTGAAAAGGGGGCAACCCGAGCAGGAAGGCCCTGATCCTGCTGGGGGAGCTTAGGTCTGCAGGTTCCTCCTGGTTCTTCATCTCCACATCCTGCTCTCCTTCTTCTCCTCCTGCAGAGCCGGTCTGGTCCCCGGGCTGAGGTCCTGGGTCTGGGTGCTGAGTCTTGGTTTCTTGGACATGTGCTGGTCTGAGGTCCCGTTGACAGCTGTTGGACTGGGCTCTGGTCCATCCGTGGCAGCTCTCTTGGCGGGGAAGCGTTTGCTGAGGTTGAGGGGAAGGGCCTGCTCTGGGGGGGGCGTGATGGGGGAGCAGGGGGGCTTGGGGCTCAGGTCCTGGGACAGGGCCTCAGAGAGGCGGCGGGTGAAGGTCTGGAACTGAGACGAGCCCAGACGAGTCCTCATCAGCTGACACACCTGGACGCTGCAGTCCAGGTTCAGAGGAAGGACCCTGAGGGGGGGCAGAGGGGGTCGGGTCCTTGCTTCCCGGCCTCCCCCTCTCTGGGCCCCGTCGTCCGCACTGCAACCGGTGCAGCTGGGGTGGGGCTGAGGCGGCGTCCGGTCCGTGCTTGGATGGGGGGAATCCGGACTTCCCGTTTTGGGCTGCAGGGTGAAGATGGTGGGGAGGTGCTGGTTGGGGTCCTGAGGGGTCAGAGCGGGACTCTCCGGACCCCTCTGCAGGCTGATACGGTTTCTGAAGACGTCTAGAGGACACACCCCTTTGATGGGGCTGAACCCTCCCAGAGCTCCGCCCACAAAGTGCCGAGGCAGCGTGGAGAGGAGGACGGTGGGAGCTGCAGACTCCCCGCGCTCCGTCTTCAGATCCTTCAGTTTGGGCTGGAAGGGGAGGAAGGGGGCGGACAGGGGGGAGAGGTCAGGGGTCAGGGGCATGTTGTGGGTCAGGATGACCGGCTGGATGGGCTGCAGGGAGGAGAGAAGAAGAAAGGAGGTCGTTAGTCCTTCACACCAGGTCATGTGACCGCAGCCGCCTGTATTTTAATGATTGTAGAAGGAAAAGAAAACTTTGAAACTAAATAATAAATACGAATAAGCGTCTTTGAGTATTTAGAAAAGCGCTATATAAATGTAATTTATTGTTATTATCATGATTAGATCTATGTCGGGCCTTCTGTCAGCGTGGGTCAGATCCAGCAGGGATTCTGTGGAGTTCACACGTTAACATACATCTTGACTACATGATGCACACACACCACACATTACAATCTGCACATTGCACTTTGACACCCTGGAAACTTTACACTGTTTACATCATTCTATATTTTGTACATTCAAATATTTCTATTCTTTAATTTTACATTATATTTCTATATTTTACTGTATTTATGTGTATTAGTAATTTGAGTGTTTATTGCATGGCCTTGCGGAACAGTCTTTACATTTCACTGCACATCTGTATGAGCATGTGACAAATACAAATCTTGACTCTTGAATCTCTGCAGTGAGGTGCAGAGTGTTTACCCTGTGCGTGCTGCTGTCTCCGCCTCCTCCTGCAGCTCTGGCTGGAAGCAGCTGCTGCTGACACTCTGCTGCTCCTTTAGCTTTAGCCTGCTGCTGAGCTAGCAGCTTAGCCTGAGCGATCAGCGTGGCCTTGTTGCGTGTTCCGGGCGGCCGACCTCGACCACGCTTCACCACCATGGCGCCGTTTGGGTTCACTATCTGCTGGAAGACAAGAGATGAGCTTTTATTGGGTTTGTTTGGAGGATGGTGTGCTTTCAGACACACTTTTTCCGGCGAGCCTTTCCTGAGTTTTGTTGATTTTAAATTGTTAATATTTTCACTTTTTAGAATTCCTGGAATTTTCCTAGAATAAAAAAACTGATTTTTATTCCTTAATCTTGCCTTGTTTATTATTCTATGACCTGCCTTTGTTTTCTCTATAAATAAAGATTATCATTATTATTATTATTATTGAGGACGCTGATACTCACAGGTTGAGGAGGAGCGGTCGTCTTCTTCTCCTTGGCTTTGGCTCCTGTTTTCTTCCTCTCTGAAGCGGCTTCCTGCCTCTGATCCCTCGTGGTTTCAGGGGGAAGGGTAGATCTGGGATTTTGAATTCGGCTCCTCCTCCTCCTCCTCCTCCTCCTCCTCCTCCTCCTCCTCCTCCTCCTCCTCCTGCTGCTCGGAGGTGCTCCTCGTAAGGAAGCATCAGCCTGAGATATAAAACATGTGGTCACAGGACGCCTGGTGCATTCTGGGTAAATCTGTTGATCTGTTCTGTGTTCTGACCTCTCGTAGTGTCTCCTGGTGCACGTAGCGGCGCTGGTGCTGCCGGGACATCCTCCCAACTCGTTATAGACCACCTTCCACAGACGATCGTTAGTCACCTGACACAAACAAACAAACACATCATCACCTGAGACAAACAAACATGACATCATCACCTGAGACACAAACAAACAATCATGACATCATCACCTGAGACACAAACAAACAAACACATCATCACCTGACACAAACAAACAAACACATCATCACCTGAGACACAAACAAACAAACACATCATCACCTGAGACACAAACAAACATGACATCATCACGTGAGACACAAACAAACAATCATGACATCATCACCTGAGACACAAACAAACACGTCACATAACCCGTGTAGGGATAAAAATATATGTGAGATTTAAACAAGAACCTAAAAACAGTTGAGGAAAAAAACACCTGTAATTAGACCTGAATATAAAAAAGTGTTGACCTTCTGAAGTCGTGTTGTTTATTTATGTACAGCAATGTTTAAAAAGAAGATTGTGAAGACACGTCTACTTTTAGGGCGCACTCCCACGAGGAGAAGTAGTCCCGTGCTGTGAAACTTCTGAACATGCAGAGAGTCTGAACCTCAGAGCAGGGAAACAGGAACAAAATGAAGCGACTCACCTTTTTATAACCTCCCAGTCTCTTCACCACGGAGTACATGAGGAAGAGGTCGACTGAGGACGCACAGGAAGGAGAACGTTACAAAAGGGAAATGTCAAAATAAAAGCACCACTTTGATGAGATAAATATTCTTATATAACAGACGCAGCCTCTCACTCTTCTTGAAGCCCAGGTTGGGCACTTTGTGGATCGGCGAGCCGCTCCGGTCCATGAAGGTGAACAGCTGATCGAGGAACAGCTGCTCTTCAGGGTGAGGGAGCCAGCCGCCCTCACAGCCCGCCTCCACGCTGCCCATCACATTCTCCTGAGGGCGGGCGGACAGACAGGGTTAAAGGTCAACACTCACACCTTAACTAAACGTTCAAATGAGGTCATCAAAGATCAAACCTTCATCCTGTCGATCCAGGACTCTGATTGGCCGGAGGTGGGCGACTCTTTGCCGTCTCGTCCTCTCCTCTTGCGAGGTCGCCCTCGCAGACTGAGAGACGGACATCCTGCGGCAGAAGAGAACACAAAGGTGATGAAGCTGGTTGGTGGGTAGGGAGGGGTCCTGGATCCCCCCCCTGCATGTTTACAAACTAACACGCCTTGATAACGGCGTTTCACTCACTGAACTGCCAGGAGAAGCTAGCGTTGTTCTCCAGTGTCGGGTGGCTGAAGGTGTCTCTGCAGTACATCAGTCGAGTGCTCGGCAGCGCTTTGACTCCGCCCAGAGCGAGCAGGTGGAGGTCCTGCAGCACCGCCCCCCTCGCTCCGTCTTGGATGCGTCTCTGCAGCGAGCGGAAGCGGCAGTACTGCGGGTAGCTGAGGATTCTGACGCTGTGACTGTCCGACTGCTCATCTGAGAAGAGAAACGACGAGTGAACCTCCAAGCTCGAACGCGGCGCCGAATGTTCAGAACAAAACGACCACATGCAAAAGACGATTAAACACCTGAAACCCGACATGGCGTCCTGCTGCGAAACACTTTAAAAGTTGTGTTTTCTTACTGTCATCTCTGTCTCGGAGTGGCTCGCTCATCTTGTTGTTTGTGATGTTGTTGTTGCTCTGCAGAGATTTGAGGAGCCTGTTCGTCCCGCACGCTGGCGTCTCTAGATTCGTCTCGACGCTCCAACCGGTCGGCTCCACGCACGACCAGCGCACCAGATCCTCCACCCGCAACACGATCTTCCTGGACACGGCGAGAACCTCATCCTGAACACAAAGAGAGAAAACACAACAGATAAACTCTCTCTCTCTCTCTCTCTCACAGACGGGACCAACATCTCTCAGGTGACGTCACACGGGGGGGGGGAGGAGTCACGCTGATGTAAGAGTTTAAAGGCTGCACATGTTGAAGTGACGTTCATGTTTTAATGTATTACACAACTTTTCATGCTTCAGATTCAGAAACATTAAAGACTCCAGTGGGGGATCATTGATCCCCCTTCAGACCGGATGTTGATCTGGTTCAGGTGTTCCAGATGTTCCTGAGGCGTGTTGATATTAACCTCCATGATCTGCTCTGGAGACGATGGGGGCGGTCCTACAGACAGATTCTGGTCTCCAGAGTTTAAATGTTTCCTCTTCAGGTTGACTTCCTCCTCGTTATGAGCCTTTGATTCAGACGAGCAGCAGCTGAGTGTCGCTCTGTGACGGCGTCCTTTAAAGCTTCGCTGACCGTGTGAACAGCGTGACAAACTGTTCACCCACTTTAAACTTCCTCCCATTCCAGTTTGTCAGCTGTGATCTTGTTTAGCACATACTTATATTTATATTATAAACTAGCCCTCATGTCTTTTACAGGAACATGTCCTCATATGATTTTAAAATCTAAACTAAAGGAAACACCTTCAGGTAAATTAGAAACAGATATTTAATTTAGATAAAAGAACGTGAAGTCTGAAAAGTAAGAATTAACCAAATTTTTATTTTCACATTAACATGTTGAAGAAACGCCGTACCGTGAACAGTTGGGAGTACTTTATCTGTAATGAAGAGGATCCGGTTTACAGTGTGACCTTTGACCCACCTCTCCGTGCTCCCTGGTCCGACCCCTCGGCGTGTCCTCAGGCAGGAAGTAGAGTCTGGCGCTGGCCAGCAGGTGGCGCCGTGTCTGGTCTTCCCACAGCAAGGTCACCTGAATGAGACGGGAACAAAGTTTCAACATCAGCCATTAATGAAAAAAGCTGATGATGAAGTACACAATGCTGCAGTTCCTCCAGTGTCCACTAGAGGCTGGCTGCAGAAGCACAGGAAGTCACATACACACCCATTCTAAAAATCCTATTTTTTTATCCTGTGCATCTGTCCACTGACACAGTGATCGGAAGGAAAACACAGCATCAGACCCGCCTGCCATCTTGGACTTCTTATAAACACTACAACCGCCCCCTTCCTCTCTGACTGGCAACACCTCCCTCTGTGAGCAACATGTGTGAACGAGCTCCTCAGGACGGTTACAGAGAGCGTGTGTAAACGAGCTCATCAGGACAGTTACAGAGAGCGTGTGTGAATAAGCTCCTCAGGACAGTTACAGAGAGCGTGTGTGAACGAGCTCCTCAGGATGGTTTCAGAGAGCGTGTGTGAACGAGCTCCTCAGGATGGTTTCAGAGAGCGTGTGTGAACGAGCTCCTCAGGACGGTTACAGAGAGCGTGTGTGAACGAGCCTCTGCAGCTTTAAATGAAGACATGACAAAACTATTTTAAATCCTTCCAGTCAGACATTTTCTGACACTCTTATCGTCCATGACGGAGACATATCCTTGTTTATTCACAGATTTCTTCACTGACTCTTTAATGAAATCTCCGTCACCTTGAGTGAAATGTCAGACACAGCGTCGGCCGGCAGATAAGTAACAGAAGTTCAGTTTAAAAAAAGATAAGACCGAGCAGAGCATCTGCAGCAGCTCTTAACTTTATTTATGATCACACACACACACACATACAAGTTTGTGAGGAGTAAGTGAAGGCATAATAAATCTGGACGTGCAGGACGCTGAATGAGAGTGAAGACAACAGAGACAGATAACTGTCAGGGCGAGCAGCAGCTGTTTGGAGGTCAGGCGTGACTCTCAGGCGTTTCAACAGCACTGCTGCTGATGTTCCTGCAATCAGAAACATTTCACTTTTCCTTCAGACTAGAGGTGACCCCGTATCGTCGAGTACTCACCGAGTCGTTGGTCAGAGTCTCAGTCGAGCACATGGATCGTTCCATTCCTGCTCTATGGGGGAGTTTCATGTCTAACTTTTTAAATAATTCATCACCATGTACAAATATCAGCGGTATAATGTTTGAGTCAGGAAGGTCACAACAGGAAGTTTAAAACCAGAGCGCTTCGTATCTTTAACTAACGATCATTAAACAACGCAGTGTCTCAAATCCTGAGGACAGAAAAGAAACTCGACCACTTATGGTCATGTGTTTGTGGTCGGTCTGGCGTAGATTGTAGCGGCTTTGTTGGTTGGACCTTGAAAGGGTTAACATGGTTGTGATCTCAACGAGCTTCAAACGACGTACAGCACGAGTGAAACACACACGGCTGCTGTGTACTCAGTGCATGCCTTGAAACCCGAGAACGCTGAAAAAAGCCAAATAATCGCGTCAAACGTTCTTTAACGTGGAACTGGAGACGAGCTGCCTACACAAATTATTTGAACGCTGCTACTGAGTCCTGATTGGCTGAATTGTTAAAGGAGCACTCCCACACTGACCTCAGCGATGCACACAGGGTCCTGCGGTCCACAGCGGATGAAGTAAAACTCCCCGAGACGCCACACCTGAGCCGGACCATCGGGCTCAGCGCGGCTGCTCACCGACTTGTAGAAGGCGTAGCTGCCTCGCTGGCAGGAGGGAGCACCCAACCACTGAGAGAGAGAGAGAGGGGGGGGGAGAGAGAGAGAGAGAGGGAGAAAGACAGAGAGAGAGAGGGAGAGACAGAGAGAGAGAGGGAGAGACAGAGAGAGAGGGAGAGAGACAGAGAGAGCAGAGAGAGACAGACAGAGAGAGAGAGAGGAGAGACAGATAGAGAGAGGGAGAGAGACAAAGAGAGAGAGACAGAGAGAGGGAGAGACAGAGAGAGAGAGACAGAGAGAGAGAGAGAGAGAGAGACAGAGAGAGAGACAGACAGAGACATAGAGAGAGAGAGAGACAGAGAGAGACAGAGAGAGGAGAGACAGAGAGAGAGAGAGACAGAGAGAGAGAGAGAGAGAGAGAGACAGAGAGAGAGACAGACAGAGAGAGAGAGAGAGAGAGACACAGAGAGACAGAGAGAGAGAGAGACACAAAGAGACAGAGAGAGAGAGAGACACAGAGAGAGAGAGAGAGAGAGAGACAGAGAGAGAGAGGGAGACAGAGAGAGAGAGGGAGACACAGAGAGACAGAGAGAGAGAGAGAGAGAGAGAGAGAGAGAGAGACACAAAGAGACAAAGAGACAGAGAGAGAGAGAGAGTTAACATCACATATTTATATTCAGACTTTAAAGAAACAGAAATTCACCTTCAAACAGAGAAATGCTGAAATCCCAGATGAGGAAATATTACATCAACAGCTCTGCTTCCAGAAGTATATCTCTCCCTTCAAATCCTCAAATGACATTTCACAAAATCTTTAGGTCTAGAAATTGAAGCCCGTTGCCATGACAACCAGCTACCCCATTACTAGTGACTATAGTACATTTGATTTGGCGCCAAAATGGTGTTAAAAAACTGGGAAAAACAAAGTACAAAACTGTGTTCACGCTTTTTTTCTGGAGTCAGGAACTACCCATCCCACAATGCATTTCGAATGATGCCTCTTCTTGTAACTCAAGTGGTTGTTCTCGTGTTTATACTGTTAAAACATGTAACATCTTCTAGTTTGTGTTACGTTCACTGCAGCAGAACGAGGTCATTAGCACACTTACTGTTAGCTAACTAACTAGCTAGCCTGCAAGCGAAACTATCCATTTGCATAGATCGCGAGAGGCGGGAAACATTGCCGTGGTACCAGCGAGCTCCACCAATCAGAGACGTGGCTGTGACTCTAGGACCGTCCGGGTCGATCTAGTCTGTACAGCTTGACGCGTGCTGCGTATTTCAAACACAGCAGAGTGGAGCGGCGCTGCTGGCACGCTCCAGAGACGGACCGCAGCACGTGACGTGGAGACGGGAGCGATGACTAGAGTGACAGGAAGCGGCGCACACGACTATGTGGAGATTGGCAGTTACAGCGTCCTCTCTGGTTGTGCCTCACAGCTCAACATCCTGCAGAACGCTTGCAGTGTTGAAACAAGTTAAATAAGCTCTTCATCAAGTGAAATGTTGCAGCAGCGTCCTCCCAGGCGTGCAGACGGCGTACGTCCTGCAGAGGCTGGAACACCTCTGACAATCATTGTGCAGCATGATAACAGACTACACACACTCCAAACGTTACACATTAACACCTCACACTGATCTCCTGATAGTTACCCAAAATATGTGCAGGTATCAGAGGAGCTGCAGACGCCTGAACACCGACACACTGAGACAGAGTGACGAGTTGAAACCTGCATGATCTTTATTCTTTTATTCTTTATTCATTTCTGAAAACTAATATCAGCTGACTCTGCAGAACACCTGGAAACATCTTCATACACAACACAACACACTAAAACCCTTTTCACCTTTTCACACATACAGAAATCTCCTGAAAAACTCCGGAGATTAGTCTACCCGGAGGTTCTTTAGGCTGTGTGAACGCAAACAGGCGCTTTTTTCGCGCGGACTTTACCCGGAGTTTCTCCGGCCAGAGTATTTTATCCGCAGAATATCTGAGTGAGCTGATGTCTGAACGCGGCAGCATATACTCCGGAGATTTCAATTTCAGCCAATAGAAAGAGAATGACGTTTATATAGTGACTGTCTAAAGCGTCTGCATGCGACCTCTACGATCTCCGTGCTCTAATTAAACGTCTGCATTCTGTTTTCTGTTGGTCAGTTTGTTGTTCTCCTCTCTTTTGTGGATGTAGTCATTCCATTGGATTACACATAGCATTGATATAAAGACAAATATTCTCATTATAAGTCGTGTAGTGGACTCTGTTGCTACGGCCGCTACTTCCACGGTGTTTATTTACGTCACGTCTTACCTCGGGAAAAGACGCCGCTTAAGTGTCAGACAGAGCAGCAGCGTCCTCTATACGACACTATAATGAGAATATTTGTCTTTATATCAAAGCTACGTGTTTAGTTTAGCTAGCTCGTAGCTTCACGTTAACTGTGTCCTGCATTGTTGTGTTAGCATGCTAATGTTAGCGCTCTTTAGTTAGCTCATTAAGATTAAGATTTACTTTATTGATCCCCGTGAGGGGAAATTCTGTTTTTACACTCTGTAGTCATGAACACACACATAGGCTGAAATATACACACACACACACACACACACAGGATCCTCTGGACATGCACTAAGGCAGAGATGTCAGAATGACGGAGCGGCCCACAGCGGGCGCTCCTGAGCTGATGGTGGGAAGGGGGTTTGGTGTGTTGCTCAAGGGCACCTCGGCAGTGCTCAGGAAGCGATCTGGCACCTCTACAGCTACCAGACCAACTTCCATATTTGGTCCGCACCGGGACTTGAACCGGCGACCCTCTGGTTCCCAACCCAAGTCCTGAGCTACTTTATTTCATAAACTGATTTGATATTAAATATTTTTTGGGTTCTTTGAGCTCTTTATAAACAAACTGCTGCTGGCGCCTTAACATTCTCACATTCTCTCTCTCTCTCCCCCCCCCCCCCCCCCCCCCACTGTGGCTCTACAGCTGCAGCAGGCCCACGATCAATTTTTAGACAGATACAGAAGAAATGTCACCGCAGCAGAAACACGAGCTGCACACAGCGCTGATATGAACGACGTCATCATTACAGAGAAGAAGAACGACGTCATCATTACAGAGAAGAACGACGTCATCATTACAGAGAAGAACGACGTCATGCAGAGAAGAAGAACGACGTCATCATTACAGAGAAGAACGACGTCATGCAGAGAAGAACGACGTCATCATTACAAAGAAGAAGAACGACGTCATCATTACAGAGAAGAAGAACGACGTCATCATTACAGAGAAGAAGAACGACGCCATCATTACAGAGAAGAACGACGTCATGCAGAGAAGAAGAACGACGTCATCATTACAGAGAAGAAGAACGACGTCATCATTACAGAAAAGAAGAACGACGTCATCATTACAGAAAAGAAGAACGAAGTCATCATTACAGAAAAGAAGAACGACGTCATCATTACAGAGAAGAACGACGTCATGCAGAGAAGAAGAACGACGTCATCATTACAGAAAAGAAGAACGACGTCATCATTACAGAAAAGAAGAACGACGTCATCATTACAGAGAAGAAGAACGACGTCATGCAGAGAAGAACGACGTCATCATTACAGAGAAGAACGACGTCATGCAGAGAAGAACGACGTCATCATTACAGAAAAGAAGAACGAAGTCATCATTACAGAAAAGAAGAACGACGTCATCATTACAGAAAAGAAGAACGACGTCATGCAGAGAAGAAGAACGACGTCATCATTACAGAAAAGAAGAACGACGTCATGCAGAGAAGAAGAACGACGTCATCATTACAGAAAAGAAGAACGACGTCATGCAGAGAAGAAGAACGACGTCATCATTACAGAAAAGAAGAACGACGTCATCATTACAGAAAAGAAGAACGACGTCATGTAGAGAAGAAGAACGACGTCATCATTACAGAAAAGAAGAACGACGTCATGCAGAGAAGAACGACGTCATCATTACAGAGAAGAAGAACGACGTCATGTAGAGAAGAAGAACGACGTCATCATTACAGAAAAGAAGAACGACGTCATGTAGAGAAGAAGAACGACGTCATCATTACAGAAAAGAAGAACGACGTCATGTAGAGAAGAAGAACGACGTCATCATTACAGAGAAGAAGAAGAACGACGTCATGCAGAGAAGAAGAACGACGTCATCATTACAGAAAAGAAGAACGACGTCATCATTACAGAAAAGAAGAACGACGTCATGTAGAGAAGAAGAACGACGTCATCATTACAGAAAAGAAGAACGACGTCATCATTACAGAAAAGAAGAACGACGTCATGTAGAGAAGAAGAACGACGTCATCATTACAGAAAAGAAGAACGACGTCATGCAGAGAAGAAGAACGACGTCATCATTACAGAAAAGAAGAACGACGTCATCATTACAGAAAAGAAGAACGACGTCATCATTACAGAAAAGAAGAACGACGTCATGCAGAGAAGAAGAACGACGTCATCATTACAGAAAAGAAGAACGACGTCATGTAGAGAAGAAGAACGACGTCATCATTACAGAGAAGAAGAAGAACGACGTCATCATTACAGAAAAGAAGAACGACGTCATCATTACAGAAAAGAAGAACGACGTCATCATTACAGAGAAGAAGAACGACGTCATCATTACAGAAAAGAAGAAGAACGACGTCATGTAGAGAAGAAGAACGACGTCATCATTACAGAGAAGAAGAAGAACGACGTCATCATTACAGAAAAGAAGAACGACGTCATCATTACAGAGAAGAAGAACGACGTCATCATTACAGAGAAGAAGAAGAACGACGTCATGTAGAGAAGAAGAACGACGTCATCATTACAGAGAAGAAGAAGAACGACGTCATGTAGAGATATAATGTGCGACTACGGAGAAGAATCTCCAGAAAAACAACGAGCTCGCCGTCACTTTGTCTAACGACTGTTAAAATGAAACACAGAATATCTGCGTCACGGAGGAGGTCACCGCTGAACGCCAAACACGCTCTGAAGTCTGCTAGAAGAAAACGGCCGAACCCTCAGGAAAACTAATCAAACTCAGAGTCCAGA